CGAAATTCCATTCTGTCATATTAATTTTTATCTCAATCCATTCGTTTCGCATTTTTCGCCTTACTCCAAAAAAAGCAGGAAACTCTAGTGAAAAAAACAACTAAATAAATAAGTGCTTATTAATATTCCAATCGTGCTGCTCATCCACTTCAAATATACACAAATGACGATAGCGATTCAAAACATCATCAATCGTGCATTATTTAATCATCACTCGTTCTTGTATCCGTACTTCTGATTTTATCTTAAGCACACTTCAGTCTGACATTTCTGTGAATAAAATGCATTTGTTTGATTTATTATGCGTTTTTGCAAAACCTCTTATTCAGTTGCTCATTTCCTCATTCACACTGAGTTTTCCCTTATCATTTTTATCACCTTACGACTGAACCATCCGGGAAAATAGTTGTAATGAACACTGATGTGCGTATGGATGCACTCACCTTGATTTGGGTTCAAATTCCATAGGTTATTGTCCCTTTTGCGCAATTTCATCTCGATGGTTAATTGAGCGATAAACACGNNNACAGTTCAGAATACCGCAAATCCTTGCGAATCTTATTTCTTCGATTCGAATCATTTGTTATTTGAAGAATCAACTATCGGACGAATATAATGATGATTGCAACAAATTGATACTGCTGCGATAGTAGCAGTAATCAGTGATAATAGCAGCAACTCGAGTAGAATAAATAATACTTTAGGAGAGTGGAGAACCTCTGATAATGGAATGCGATCGGTTGATGGATGAAGGGAACTCGCAAGATGACCAATGTCATCTGCAACAGCACCAGCCACAAGTGCACAATAAACGTGAACGTCCACAAATTCGATTGTCTTTGTGGCACGATTTAACGGGTGGTTTCAAGAGTGTTTTTCACGGCGAAGTGAAGATTTTGTTGAACGACGTTACGATGAAACCCGAAGGAGAACATTCTGGTCCGCAATGGTTTGTTTTTATAAATTGTTCGTGAAATTCTGCCACTTTTTTTCAGTTGCTTTTTTGATGGTCAGTGACTATAATTCTGATAAATCTGGTCAAGCTGGCTCTTTGATCTG